TCCCATGCCGCTGCCTCCGAATCCTCCTCCCATGCCTCCTCTGCCTCCAGAGACAGTCGTCCTGCCCACCACAGCTGGAAGAGAAGCACAGGTTATGTTTCCATTGCCCAGTCTCAGTCTCTGTCTCTGAAGAAACACAGTGTGATGCTTTTTCTGAGGGACCCCAGGGCAGATACTTACAGACATTGACGTTTGACATGCCATCGTTGCACAACCTGTGAAGGAAATTGGACATTTTAATTACCCAATAAATTACAGGTTATAAAAACTTTAAACTGTGTTTCCACTATCAAATCATTTTCCTGGTTCACACTCCTAAGCCACTTTGGAATCACTAAAAGGTTGGAGAAGGGGAGGAGTTGGCAATTCCTCTTTACAATGGGGTTTCTCCATATTTAAGGTTCATTAAAAACTCAGCAGTGACTCAGAGATGGGGCAGCAGCTCTGCCACCTCCATGGAACCAGTTATGGGTCCTGACCCCCAGAATATCCCACACAGCATCAATCATAACATCCACCCCTTAGCCCAAAGAATTGGTTTGGGATTACAGTCAATATTCCAGATGTCCAGTGTAGATCACAAACCCAGTGAGATCTCAGTTATTTACCTGTTCTCCTCCCCCTCCAGCAGCTTCCTGTACATGGCAATCTCAACATCCAGTGCGATCTTGACATTCAGCAACTCCTGGTACTCCTTCAGCAGGCGAGCCAGCTCCTCCTTGTCCTTCTGCAGGGCACTCTCCAGCTCCTCCAACTTCAACCTGGCATCTTTGAGAGCCATCTCTCCCCTCTCTTCAGCTTCAGCAATGGCTGCCTGCAGCTGCTGGTTCTGGGGAGCACAACAGGAGCTTTCTCAGGCCTCAACTTGTCCCTCATGACCAGTTCTCAGACCCCCAAGAGGAGAAATCAGGAGACAAGTAAACATCTGCATGAAGTGAACTTGGATTGATGGAAGGTTTCTGCCCCACTCATGATCATTTGTGATCCAACCTGCTGCTACCTTCCCCTGAGACACCAACCAGCCCCTTCCTTTCTTCATGTCCTCGATCTCATCCCCAAGACACCAACCAATCCCTACCTGCTTCTTCACGTTCTCAATCTCTGCCCGCAGCCTCTGAATGTTCCTGGTCAGCTCCTGGATCTCAATCTTGGTGTTGCGGAGGTTGTCTCCATGCCGGCCAGCTGTGCTCTGGAGCTGCTCGTACTGATGGCACCAAGACAGAACGACTCATCAGTGACACATTCCTGGTGCCTCTAGAAGACTTGTCCCCAGTTTCAAGGCTCAGGTGACATTATGAGGACTGTGCTGCTGATGGATGCCCAGCTCTATGTTCAAGGTGGCTCTGGGACTCAGTCATGGGGTCTGAGCTTTGAAAAGGATCTTAGTGACACTAAAAAGCATCTCCTGGCATCTGAAAAGCCACTTAGGCTGGAATTTTCTCATTAAGCTGCATTTTGGGCCATTTTTATCAATAAGTTGTGATGACTTAAGTTTTAGCCTTCATATTTTCCAGATTCTGTACTGCATTAGTACGTAACTCTGAACTTCATATAAAGTATCAGCAAGTTCTCCTCACAGTTCAGTCACACAAAACATTCCTTTTCCAGCCCCAGAACCAAGGACACTGCTGAAGCTTCAGGGCCAAAAAGTGCAAACAACAACGAATTGAGGAGAGCAATCTGGGAGGATGGGACTGCAGAACCCAGAGCTGGAATTGGACAATTAGCCCCAATATGTAAATGGACCAAAACTTATAAAAGTGTGAAAATGTGTGATCCGTCATCCATCTTGAGTGTAGCTTCAGCCAGGCTCTTATACAGCCCAAGATGTATCCTGTGAAGACTTTTAAATAAATACCTGTTTTATTCCTTTAACACTGTCTAGCGTCTGTTCTAGGTAGCATCTCAAGGCATCAGTTTCTGCCATGCACCTTAGTGAGTTTGGGACACATTGGGAGCAATGAGTCAGATCCCTCAAAAGCAGCTCAAGCCCTCTGGACGTTCCTTGCACCACAAGCTCCAGCCCCGTTAGCTTGAAAAGGTGTCTCATCCAGCCATAAATTACTGTAAATCACCCAGCCACACCCAGGAGTCTCGACTGCTCCCTGACTCACCTGGCTCTGGTACCAGGCCTCGGCCTCAGCCCGGCTGCTCTGGGCAATCTGCTCGTACTGGCGCCGGACCTCCTCGATGATGCTGTCCAGGTCCAGGTGCCGGTTGTTGTCCATGGACACCACCACGGACAGATCCCGACTGATCGTCTGCATCTGAGACAGCTCCTGCAACCAAGACATGAGTCAGAGACACCATCTCAAGCCTAAATCCACCCAGGCACCCAATCCAATTTCAGTGTCCTTGGCTGCCACACACCTGATGACAATTCCCCCCCCCACCCCCGGAGAAGAGAGAGCTCCTACCTCTTCATAGATGCACCTCAGGAAGTTGATTTCATCAGTCAGAGCTCCCACTTTGGCTTCCAGCTCAACTTTGGTCATGTAGGCATTGTCCACATCCTAAAGGAAAGATACCACAGAAGGTAGTTTTGTTTCCTCTTGGGAATCCTTCAGGCTTGTGGGAATTGCTGTCTGAGGGTTTGGTGTTATTCACTGTTATTCACTGAGACATCATTATGTTTATATATAATTCTACAACCACATATATAAATAAATAAAAATAAATAATGCTATGGTGTCATCCCATTATGCAAATTGAATATAAAGGATTCCAGATATCAGCTGGAAGATCTTAAAAATTCCACGATTCCCATTCAAGTGCAGGTAAAGCTAAATATTGGGGGATTATTTGGTGGTGCCTGTGACTCACCTTCTTCAGCACCACGAACTCATTCTCAGCTGTCGTGCGCCGGTTGATCTCTTCCTCATACCTGTGGAGAGGAAAAGTGCAAATTGAGTTCCTGGACTTTCCTGCCTAAGGCTGTGAGAAACAATCTGAAAGGGAAAAAAAACCCCTAAATTAAAATATTTAGTCTGAAAAACTATCTCCGCTATCACCATAAAAAGCAGTTGGGGAAAATTAAAGTGACCAAAAAGCTGCTTGAGCTGCTCTTGGCTCCGCACTCACTTGGTTTTGTAATCCTCGACGTACTGCTGCATGTTCTGCAGCTCTGACTCCAGCTGGCCCCTCTGTGCCAGGATTGATTCCAGCTGCCTCCGCAGGTTCTGGATGTAATTCTCAAAGATCACATCCAGGTTCTTCCTGGGCCCGGATGGCCCTTGCTGCTGGAGCAGCTCCCACTTGGTGGAGAGCACCTTGTTCTGCTGCTCCAGGAATCGGACCTACAGCCAAGACATGGAGGAGCCACCATCACACACGAGCAGCTCCCACCAAAACATCTCTTGCATCACTCAGAAAGATTTGCATGGTGATGAGAGAACCAATTAACTATATTTTCTAAAAATTTCTGTTGGTGCCTAAGCTGCAAAATCAGGAAAAGAAGGAAATATCTAACAATTTTCTACTCAAAGGAGCTTTTACACATTGCTCTCACTCCAAGTCCGTCCCCATTGCAGGCAGTATGGAAATCTGATCTCCAGCCTAGATTTAGAAGCCTGGAGATTTGAAAACAAAGAGAAAAATATATAAATTAATACTTAAATGGAAGGTTGTTCAGGCAGAGAGTAGTGGAGGAGGGAGAATCTGTGCCCGAAACCTGCGGAGGTTGGAGGTGTTGAACCTGCTTGCAAGAGTAACCTCAGAGTAGAGCTTGGTGCAACAGGGCAGATGAAAGCCCTGGAGACATTGCTTTGATCTTGTGTGGAGGAGAGATTCCCATCTCTTCCCTTAATGAAAAGGCTCTGCTCAAGCTTCTCTGCCTGCTAGGATTCAGCTCCAGAAGGATGTTTCTGTGCAACTGGGAAGTTCTTCCTAATCTTGACCTTAATCAGGCACAATCCCACCCTCTCACCTTGTCAATGAAGGAGGCAAACTGGTTGTTCAGGGTCTTGATCTGCTCCTTCTCCTGGTTTTTAACTTGCTGGATCTGGGGGTCAATCTCGACATGGACCGGACGCAGGAGGGTCGTGTCGATCTGCACTGGCTGGATCCCAGGGCCACCTCTCCCAGGGCCACCCATGCCAAAGCCTGGGCCACCAAAGCCACCCATTCCTCCACCACCCATCCCACCACCAAAGCCACCCATTCCTCCACCGAAGCCACCCATTCCTCCTCCACCACCCATTCCTCCTCCACCCATTCCTCCAAAGCCACACATTCCTCCTCCTCCACCACCCATTCCACCCCCAAAACTACCGAGACCCCCGTAGCTCCCGCCAAAGCCGCCCATCCTGCCGCCGTACCCACCACCGTAGCACCCGCCCATGGAGATCCTGGCGCTGCCCCCCATGTTGTGGAGGCTCCGGCTGCCAAAGCCTCCGCACCGTCCTCCACCTCCGAATCCCCTGGACACTGAGTACGAGCTGTAGCTGCTCCTGCTCCGGTTGCCACCTCCAAAGCCCCCACCGATTGCAGAGCAGGAACTGAAGCCCCTTCTGCTCCCCCCTCCGAAGCTCCTGCAGACAGACTGACGAGACATGGCTGATTATCCTCAAAAGAGCCAAGAATGGAGAAGCTGAGGAGCTCAACGAGGTTGTGGGTGAGGAGGTGGGTGGAAGAAGGGAAGTCAGTCCCTCTGGCTGGAGGGCAGCAGATGCTCCCTTTTATGTGTTTTTGGAGGTGGGCTGGGTCTGCATGGGCGTGAAGGAGGAGACAGGTCCTGTCTTCATCAGCGTGGCGTGGCTAAAGATTTCCATCTCCAATTTGCCAAACATTGACCCTACCCAGAAACACACCCTCTAATGCAGGAGAAAAGGCAAAAAAGATCCAACTGGGGCTCCCAGCACGCCATGACTAAGGAATCTTACACCTTGTGAAGCAGCAAGAGCCTCCCTAAGATACACCAGGTATTTGTTTTCCACCTTTCATCCACTGGGTTTGTTTCCCTGCTTGTGTTTATCTTTAAATCTCTCACTCCAAAGCCCCACTGCAGGCAGGCACTGTGGCTCATGCCAAGTTGTAGCCTGGCTTTCACAATTCCCAAAACACACCTAAGTTACACCCTCAGTCTTCTTTTTACTTGGAAAATTGCCTTTGGCTCAGAGAATTGAGTTTCTCAATCTACAGCCAGAGCTCAGCAAATTGCATTTTGATGAGGCTCTGCACCTTTTTGATAAATAAAACCTCACTGGTGATGAGACGTTGGTGTTGGCACTGGAAATTCATTTATTGTTAGACTAAAGCATATCCCACTGTCTTCATGCCAAGACAATCTCAGCACTGGTGAGGAAATACCCTATCTGGGAATCCCGTGTAGGATTTTCTGAAAGCTTTCAGGACCATGAGGAGAAATCAGGCACCAGCTGCCATGGTGGGATGTGCAGGAAGATGGAGGGACAGCCGTGGGAGCATAGTGGGAGGAGGGATACTAAACCTTGCTTCCCACATCAAACACCCTGGAACAATTTAAATGCAATTAATAGAGCTCAACTCATTTATAGAGATGTGGAAGTGAGGAAAGCATAATGCTTGGAGGAATCACCATTCTTTTCAGCTCTTTCACTTATTTTGATGTTTATATTTGGTGTTCATGCCAATATATCTTTGGCAGATGTAGATTTTAGAAAGACAGGAGTTTGTCAGAATCCTCCAGTTCTGATTCCCAAGTGAGGATGGATTCAGACTATGATCCATCACAGAATTCCAGAATGGCTTGGGTTGGAAAGGACCTTAAATCCCATCTTGTTCCACCCCCTGCCATGGGCAGGGACACCTTCCACTATCTCAGGTGGCTCCAAGCCCGTCCAACCTGGCCTTGGACACTTTCAGGGATTGGGCATGCACCACCTTTCACAGAATCATAGAATGATTCAGGCTGACTCTGTAAGTCATTCAATCCAAAAATCCGTCACAGATCTACCCTTTTGCCTTGCTTATTAAATAACAATTAGTCTCATTTTATTTTTTATAGAGAAAATAATTTTTTTATTACTTTTCAACATTTTAAAGCCATCTAGGACATATCAAAGTCCAAACCCACAGCTCTAGAGGCACCTCACTGTGCTGCAGCCATCTGGTGCAGGTCTCTGAATTCTCACACAACACATGTTAATTAAGAGCTTCTGGAAAATCCACACCAGCAACTTCTGGTATCATCAGACGTTTAAATACCTCTAAAAATATTGCCCAGACACCCATTTCCAAAAGCGCCTTGGGACCCGGACATGCAGCTAAACTGGCATTTCCACTGGAAAACATCACATTCGCTGTGTTTATCTCACCTCCAGGACCTGTGTGGGTCTCAAGGAGGTGGATTGGGGGGGTAGATAAGCCTAAGAAAATCATGGAATCCTAGGATTAAGACTGGAAAAGACCTTCAAGATCATCAAGTAATACTTTTGAAAAAATAAATATATATAATATCAAATCTTCACTCTGGGAGCAAAGGGGGGAGGTTTGGCAGAGGGTTTTATAGGCAATAAATAAAAAAAAATAGACAAGAAATCAATACACAGACAATAAAAATGGGGGCTGAAGCACGGTCCCTCAACAGCCCAGGCAAGACCCCCCCTCCCTTAGCATTATCAAACCTCTTGTTACACCTTCCTGGGGGATTTTTGTTGGGATTTTTTTCTCCTTCTGTGGGCGGGATGACACGATCTGAAAGTTCTCTCTTTCCCAGGGGAGGAGAGTTCCCGAGTCAGCAAACGGAGAGCCCCGAGCGCACGTGGAAAGATAACGCAGAGTGTTGAGTCACGGCCACAGCTCCAGCCAAGCTTAGGAAATCGAACTGGGATTTGGGTATCAACATCACCTCCTGGCTCAAACATGCACACTGGCAGAGGTGGAATGGCTTGGGTGGGAAAGGAATAGAAAGATCATCCCATCCCACCCCTGCCATTGGGCAGGGACATCTTCCACATTTCCCCAAGCCCTGTCCAACCTGGACTTCCAGGCATGCAGCAGCCACAGTTTTACCAGAAAATCCATTCCAGGACCTCACTGCCCTCACAGGGAAGAATTCCTTCCTGATATCCCATCTAATCCTGCCCTCTTCCAGCTGGAAGCCATCACCCCTTATCCCATTATTTCAGGCTCTTTCTAAGTCCCTCTACAGCTCTCCTGGAGCCCCCAGTGAAAGAAAATTACCCTCAGAGGTCACTTCCCACCCAAACTGTTTCATGATGCTGTGAAAATAAGCAGGCCTTGAATAACTGAGAGGAAACCATGAAATCACAGAATCATGAGATGGTTTGGGCTGGGAAGGACATTAAAGTTCGTCTTGGTCCATCCCCTGCCATGGGCAGGGACAAACCCTGATGAATCCAATCCTATTTTCAAACCATGGAAAACATTTTCTTTCCTCCATCCAGAGGCAGGAATTAGATCACCTCTGTGTCTGGCCTGGAAGAATTTTTCCCTAATTGTTGATGCGATCCCAGGAACAAAAGGGGAGGGATTTGTATGCTTGTTTGTTTTAGCGACGGCCTTTGTGCTCCTGGAGAAGCCCTTTGTCTCAGGCGGGAGCCACTGCTGGAAGTGAGTTTGGATTGGGGTGACTCCGAGGGAAGTTATTGCCTTCTCATTCAACACCACTTTAGGTCACTTTTACAACTCCCCAGATGTTTAACCATCGCTCCAACCATGTCCCCACCCAAGCAATGACAAGCCCGTGCTGGCAGCATTGTGACATTCCATTGTGACATTCCGCCTGTCACTGCTGGTACTGGATGTCTTCAGCCTTTACCAGCTCAGAACTAACATGGGAGAAATGGGATGAGTCACCCCAAACACAGCCTGTGGCTGGCCAGGGACGTGATTCAAGGTCTCCTGAGCAAGAGGTCAAACCACAGCAGGAGTCTGGGGATCAAAATTTATCCAAATACTCTTCTTTCGGGGTGTGTTTGGGGGGGGTTGATGGAGCGGGGGGGAAAGTCTTGCTCTTCCCGTGGTCTCAGCTGCCTTTTGGAGATGCCTTAAGAGCAATCCATGGATCCTTGGTGAGTCCAGACAGTAGGAAAAGCTGCAGGGCTGGCTCCAGTATCATGGATGCCAAGGAATTAGCTCCAAATTATTTGGAGGGGTGATGACCACTGTTCCTTCTCCCATACCAACCATGCTAGGATGCTCCTAAAGCACTCAGAGTTGTGCAAAGAGTGCCCTGGGAGCTCCAGCAGTGTCACAGCAGTCCTGGGGCCACCTCGGAAGACAGGGTGGGCAGTTGTGTGGTCAGGGAGAGGTGGGATAGCCGGGGAACATCCCAGATCAGCTAACTGCAGCATGGAAAGGGCTTAGGAAGAGAAGGATGAAGGGAGGAGTCTCCTAAAATCCACAGTCTGAAAGTCTGCTCAGATCTGGTGGGCACAGTGGTGGGACAACAATCTCTGCCATATCCGGAGATCCTGCAGGATGGAGAGGAGGATTCAGGGGCTGCATTTTTCCCTCTGCCAGGAGTGGCCTCGTTCCCAGGGCTGTCACCAAAGTGACTGTGACTGTGTCACTGTCACTCTGCACCCAACGTCCCTCCAGCCTCCCCGGTGAGACCCTCCTTATTCCTGCAAAACTCCCTTCATTTTTGGAGACAGAGAGGGGTGAGAGGAGACCCGGTTGCACCTTCACCTGAGCTCCTTTAAATTCAGACTTCAAAGGGCAGGAGAAAGTCAGGAAATGTTTTCAGATCTCGTCAGAAGACGAGACTTGTTACAACACGAAACTGTTTGGTCAGGGAGAAAACCACACCAGGTTTCTGCCTCTCATGTTTATTGGGGGATGGCACAAGCCAAGGAGAAAGACTTAAGCAAACACACACGATTGTTCCCATGGTCCCAAGGAAAAGGTGAACCTTGAGTAAAAATAAACATTTTACAAACATTTTACAACAGCCCAAGTGAAACTTGGCGGGGGAAAGTAGTTGGGTAAGAAACATCTTCAGCTGGGCCAAGGTACCAGAAGGAAAATCCTGTTTTAGAGCTTGAGCTGGGGCTGATGAGTGGCACTGATTAAAGTTGCACCACGGCTGGATCCAGCACAAGAGTTTGAGAGAAGCCCAGGCTCCTGCCTGTCGTTGGGTGCCTCTTGTTTGGAGGGTGCTGCTCCACAGGGTCATCCCAGCCAGGTTTGGGGTTCCCCATGAATGAGTAGGTCCTGCTCCTGAGGGAGACCTGGACATATTGATGTCCAGCAGCTGGAGGGGAGCACAAGGGATTGAGCTGTTCTCAGTCCTTAGCAGATGGATTTGACCATGTTTGTCTCCTACCCACAGTTTGAGTGGTGGTTTAAGGTACCATCAGTGCCCACCACTCAGTGGTCACTGGGGGTCATCGTGCAATTCGCTCCCTTTCTCCTCTGGGTGCCAGGGTTGGGGGGTTGATCCCTTTCCTATGCCCTCCGGCCACTGGGGCCACTGTTCTTCAGGATGCTGCCAGATCCCCCCACCACCACAGAGTTAGATCCCCCACCCAGGGAGCCAAATCCACTCCCGGCACCAAATCCACCCCCTCCCAGGCTGAAGCATAAACCAGCACCGCCCGTGCTGCAGCTGCCTTTCCCGCTTCCGAAGCCAATTCCTCCTCCTCCAAGGCACAATCCGCTGCCGTATCCACCTCCCACGGAGCTGCTGCCGCCCACCACAGCTGCAGAGAGGAACAAAAGGCACCAGGTTACCTCGGATGCCACCAAGAAGTTTGGGAGCACCAATCCCAGCCCGCCACACTCCCGTGGGAACAGTACTTACAGATGCTGACAGAGCTCTGGCACTCTCCAGACATCCTGCAAGGAAAAGAGATGGATGGTCAGATCCAGAGTGTCTGGAGTGGTCCAGCTCCATGAAGTCAGGATTGGTCCACTGGCACAGCCACAGGACCATGGTCCACAGCTCATGCCACCACCATTAATGTTTTATGAAGATGATGGTACACATTTTCCCCATTGATTGATCAGGATACATTGGAATTCTTGCTATATCCCACTCACCTGCACTCCTCACCCTCCAACAGCTTCCTGTAGGTCGCAATCTCCACATCCAGGGCTAGTTTGACGTTCATGAGCTCCTGGTATTCCCGGAGCTGTCTGGCCATGTCAGCCTTGGCTTTTTGCAGAGCTGTCTCCAGCTCGGCCAGTTTGTCCCTGGCATCCTTGAGAGCCACCTCCCCGCGCTGCTCTGCATCCGCAATTGACGTCTGAATGGTCTCACACTGGAGGGCAGGACATGGGCAGGATGAGTGGGGTGGAGGCAGTCGGTGAGAGATGAAACCACGATCCCAGATCAAAGAAACGTGTAATGGTTTGGGTTAGACAGGACCTTAAAGATGATCTGGAGCATGAGCAGGGACACCTTCCACTATCCTAGGTTGCTCCAAGCCACGTCCTACCTGGCCTTGGACACTTCCATGAATGGAGCATCCATAACTTCTCTGGACAACGTGTGCCAGACCCACTCAGGCTCAGCTATTCCCAGGTCTCTTCCATGCCCAATAATTCCCACCACACTTATTTCCCTTCAGGCAAGTTCTAAAGGGCATGACCAAGGGGTCCTCCCCATTACTCAAAAAACATAACCCCCACCTGCTTCTTCACACTGTCGATCTCAGCCCGTATCCTCTGGATCATGCGGTTGAGCTCTGAGATCTCGATCTTGGTGTCCTTGAGGCTGTCCCCGTGCTTGCCCGCGGTTGCCTGCAGCTCCTCGTACTGGTGGGATGAAGCAGGAAGAGCACATTGACTCTACTGTAATCTCACAGCTGCTCCCGCATCACCGCAGGGAAGCCAAGGAGAGCAAGTCTGTGCCAGGTCCACTCTGGACGGACCAGCACCAGCAACATTCCAGACCTTGCCATGGCCTGAGCTGCCACCAGTAGCTCTTCCAGCCCTTTGGACACTAGAGAACCCCAGCAGCATGTGCCACCCTCACCTTGCACCGGTACCAGGACTCAGCCTCCAGCCGGCTGCGGTTGGCGATCTCCTCGTACTGCGCCTTCACCTCGGCGATGATGCTGTCCAGGTCCAGGTTCCGGTTGTTGTCCATGGACAGCACCACCGACGTGTCAGACACAGTCTTCTGCATCTGGGACAGCTCCTGCAGGTGACATCCAACCCGAATTTAGCCCTCCCAGAGCTTCCTTATGGTGCCACAACCCTCCGCCATCCCGGTGTCCCCAGAGTACTCACTGCCTCGTAAAGATACTTGAGGAAGTTGATCTCATCCGACAGAGAATCCAGTTTTCCCTGGAGTTCCACCTTGGTCATGTAGACTCCATCCACATCCTGCAGGAGAGATGGAATGAGAAAACCTGCCCAGCACATACCAGTTAATATAAAATTTCATGGAATCTTGGAAGGGTCTGGGTTGGAAGAGACTTTAAATGTAATTCCATCCCCTTCCATGGACACCTTTCACTCTCCCAGGCTGCTTCAAGCCCCATCCAACCTGGCCTTAGACACTTCCATGGAAGGGACAACCACAGCTTCTCTTGGAAATCCATTCCTGGGCCTCCCCACCCTCAGAGGGAGGAATTCTTTTTCAATATCCCACCCATCCCTGCCCTCTGGCAGTAGGAGATCATTCCCTGTGTCCTGTCCCTCCAGGCCATTATCCAAAGTCCCTCTCCAGCTCTCCTGGACTCCCTTTAGGTAAAAAAACTGTACTTGACCTTCTTCAGGAGCACAAATTCGTTCTCAGCTGCTGTCCTTTTGTTTATCTCCTCCTCGTACCTGTGGATGGGAAGAAGGGAGATGGAATCTGGCTGCTTGTTTTGGCTCTGGCTCAGACTAATGAACGTTGTTGGCCTCAGACTCATAAACTCGGCAAAAATAGATCTGCCACAAGGGAGATTTATGGACAAGGAATTGCACTTTGCCTTTCAGGACAAGCCCTGGCTCCTGCATTTCCAGCACCTGGGTGAGGAAAGCCTGGGAAGAGGAATTCTGGCTCTGCTGAAGTGAGTCCTGGCATTTGTGGCCACTCCAAGTTCCTTCTAGGAGATCCAAAAACCTGCAGCCCCTCACTGGTATCAAGGAATCTCCTGATTTGGAAGGGACTTACTGGGATCGTCGAGTTCAGCTCCTGGCTCTGCACAGGGCACTCCAGAATCCCAAATGGACTCAAATTTTCCAGATGCTCACCTCCAAATATAAAGTCAATTTTCACCCAGCAACCTCTGGTTGAACTTGGGTCTTATGGATTCCAATGATTCCCAGACTTCCTTGCCCTCTCTCTTTTGTAATTCCTCAAGTGGATTAATTTCTCCTGTCTTTGTTCTACTTTTTCCAACTGGACACATTTTATGTTTGTATTTTTAGACTAAAATAAATTATATATTATAATAAATAACAGCACGAAAATAATTTTTCTTTTTCCTTTCTTTTTTTTTTTTTTTTTTTTCTTCATGTCAACCTTCCACAGAAATCCTCAAATCCTGAGTGATATTATGCGAAGGAATTATGAGGAAATCCATAAGGAAATTAGAATTGGGTTTAGCAACTGATTAATTCATTAAATCATAATGTCACTCATTCTTAAGGAATTCCTTCTTGAGGAAGACAAAGGGTGGAGGATCCTCTTTCAAGAAGAAGCACAATTCTAGCAATATATTGAGAAAAACTGAGAAAAGTTGAGAAATACCTTGAAAAAGCACCATTTTTCATCCAAACTCAATCCAAAACATTTTATGTTTTCTAACCATCAGGAAAAAAATATTGACAATTATTATCAATATTTCTTTTTTTTTAGCTGTTTGAAGTGAGTTTTTCTCCTTTTATTTGTCACCAGACACCCCAAACAACCTACTTTGTCTTGAAGTCCTCCACCATGTCCTGAGAGCTCTTCAGCTCTGTCTCCAGCTGCAGCTTCTCACTGGAGAGACTATCCAACTGCTTCCTCAGCCCACTGATGTAGGTCTCAAATAAAGCATCCAGGTTTCTGGCCCCTATTCCTGGACCAGCCTGCTGCTGCAGCAGCTCCCACTTGGTCTCCAGGACTCGGTTCTGCTGCTCCAGGAACCGGACCTAAACAGGTGGGGAAAGTGATTCTTCCTTCAAAACCCCATCTTTTTATCGATTTTTCCCATGTGTTTTCCATATTTTATTCCCATTTAATTTGTGATGACTCCCCAGTCCTGCAGGACAGGTAGGACCACAGTGGATGGGGTGAGTGGGCAAAAGGGGTCACGTCCCCTCCCCAATTTTGGAGCTTCTAAAGAGGAGAAGCACAATGAGCTTCAGAGGTTTGGCACCTTCTTGTTCAAAACAGCCAAAAAAGTCACAACATCTTCAAAATAGACCAAAACATCCAAAAAGCCCAACCATCTCCTTAAAAATAGGCTAAGTCACTCTATATCCCATCTTATCCTTAAGAATAGCCCAAAACTCCCCAAATCCCAAGATCTCCTTAAAAATATTCCCCCCAAAATCCCACCTTCTCCTTTAAAATAGCCCAAGTCACACAAAATCACATCTCTTTAAAAGTAGCCTAAAGCACCCGAAATCCCACTAAAAATAGTCCCAAACACCCCAAAAAATTCACCTTGTCCTTCAAAGTAGTCGAATGTTCCCCATAAAATAGCCCATTTTCCCCATAAAAACAGTCCCAAACACCTTAAGTTTATGGAGATTTGGGCACCTCCCAGATCTGGGTGCCACTGGATGAACATCTCCAGGTCATTCCCACCCTCCAGAGACGATCCCAGAGTGAAGCCCCTCCAAACCTTGTCAATGAAGGATGCAAATTTGTCATTGAGTTTCTTGATCTCCTCCCGCTCCTGTGTCCGAACCTTCTGGATCTCGGGGTCAATCTCCAGATTGAGGGGGGCCAGCAGGCTCTGGTTGATGGTCACCTCCCTGATGCCACCCGGGGGGCACGGGGGGAAGCTCTGGCCCCCTATTCCACCATCAAATCCTCCACCGAAGCCACCAAAGCCACTGCCAAGGCCTCCGCCAAAGCACCCTGCACCATAGCCACTCCCAAATCCTGCTCCAGCCCCAAAGCCGAAGCCTCCTTGGCCACCAAAGCCTCTGCAGGCACCACCAGCCCCCCCAAATCCTCCCAGGGAGGTGCTTTTATTGCCCCCCAGGGAATAGAGGCTCCTGCTGCTGAAGCCACCGGCGCTGCCAGACCCCCGGCATCCTCCGCGGTGCGCAGAGCCGAAGGTGACCTTGTTCTTGCCCCCGAAACACACAGAGCTGGAGCTGAACCCCTTGCCAAGAGCACGGGACTGGCGAGACATGGTGAAGGGTCCCCAAAATTCTGAGCAAAGGGCTGAGGCCGGAGCTTGAGAGGCAAGAGGAGCCAAGTCCTGTGGGAGCAGCTGCTGGGTCTCCCCTTTTTATGGGCGCAGGGAGTTGGTTGGTGCCAGGGGGGAGTGGAGATGTCATTTTTTTGGGGGTTGTTTCATTCTCTTCTTTGTTTTCTGGTTTGAAAGGACGCCCTCCTCACTTTGCCACAACCATGACCTGCCTGCAAACACTCCCCAGAGAGCAAAGAAAAACAAAACTATTGTTGGTGTTGGAGCCAAATTCCAACTCAAATTTCCTGGGCTGACACTCATAACAAAGCCCCACGAACTCTCTGATGCGCCACGCCCTCAAGGGAAACCCTTGTTTTAGCTAAATCTGTCATTTTCAGCCTGACACCAGGGGCTGGGTTCACTGAATTCCAACAAAAACCCAGGCTCCCAGGCACACCCTCAGATGCACTCAGTTTCAACCTCCTGCTCCATGGAGAGGTGACGTGGGTTGTCCAAAGTGTTTCACAACTGGGAGCATTAGCATTTGGCAGGGCTTTAAAACTACTTTTATGTCAATAAAGATGATTTTAAAACCTTCTTAAACCTTCTGAAAGGATTTTGAAGTCATTCTACATCCCTCTGAGTGATGGGTTGAGCTGGGTGGGACACACTGAGATTTGCGGAGACTGAAATATCTCAATATATCTGTGTTGCGCAACACCCCAGCAGGGTCAAGACTGTTTCCTGGCTCACGACTTTGACAGGGGATCACATCCCTCCTCTGAAGAATCTTCCAGGGATTTTGGGATGTTTTCTGAGGGTCCTTGTGGGTCTCCAGTCCCTCCACAGCCTGTGGTGCTCAGCAAAGCCACTCTCAGCCTACTCCATTGTTAAAACAGTACAATTTAATCGCTTAATTGCTTTAAATTTCTATTTAAATGAGGTGTTGAGCTGCCTCCATTGAGGATCCCGGTTTATCCCACCGTTAAAACAATTAAAAAATCCCAAAACTTCCCCCCAGTCTCACACTGCCAATAAAATCCAACTCTGGATTATCCCATTCACTGGGAGAGGTTTGTGGAACCAGTTTCAGCTCTGAGACTGTTCACCCCTGGCATTTTTTTTTCACTGAAAATATGTAAATCTAGGTCTGGGTGCATGTCCTGGTGTTTCCTCCTGAATCTCATCGGGGATTCCTGAAGCCCCAGGATGTTCAGCCCCAGGGGATTTGCAGTGCAGGGAACAGGGAAGTTGAGGCTCCCTTTGGACAATGCGCGTCCTGCACACCTCAACCCCACCTGGAAACCCCCTCCCACCCTCCGGGGTTCCCCACTTTTCCAGCTGGAGAAGAGAAGCGGTTTGAACAGAGGGAAGGAGGCGGCGGCTGCATCTCCTGACCTTACGCAACCGGCAGATCTGCCCCAAAACCGAATGAACCTGTTGGAGCCGGGGCGGAGAGCATTCCTGCCAGGAGTTCCCAGGGTGGCTCCATCTTCAGCTCCTGGCCCAGCCGCTGGCCTGAGGCCAGCCCGGCATTTGCCCAAGCAGCTGCTGGGCCAGCAAAGCCCTGCCCCACCCTGCCACCAAGGGGTGAAGACACCTCACTGGGACACGGGGTCGGTTCCCAAATCTCCTAAACTCCAAGGTGGAGCATCTCAGATGCTCCAGCGCTAGCCGGGATGGGAATGCATCAGGAGCAAAGCTGAGGGCCCAGGGTTGGCCACTGTCACTCAATCAGTGCTGGCCACAATCACCCACCCAATGCTAGGCAACATCACCACCGAACATTGGCCACCATTCACCCACCTAATGTCGGCCACCAGCCCTCACCCACTGCTGGCCACCCTCACCCACCTAACAAACTGCCACCTATACACCCTAACATGGAGGCCCATCCCCCACCCAGTGTTGGCCACCATCACCTACCCAACGTTGGACACCATCTTCTGCTCAGTCTTGGCCACTGTCACCCACCCAACACCAGCCACCATCACTCATCCTGCACCCCAACGTCCCAGCTTCGCAGTATATCCCATGGGAGAAGGGACCACCAGCACAGATGCCCAGCAGTCCAACCAGGGAAATGTGTAGGGGAACCAGAGTCCAAATACAGCCAATTTCACCCCAAAACTGTGCTGGGACTGGGCTCGACTGGGAAAACATCGGATCTGGAAACTCCTGGCTGTTCCGTTGGCAGCCACCGACCCGGGAAATTGCAGGTCTGGGAGCGGGAATGGTGACAGCTGGAACAACAAGGTGGGTCCCCGGGAGATCAAAGCAGGTGTTGCAGAAGATGGGCGGTACCCTGGGACTGCCGAGAGCCCTGGGCGCCTCAGGGTCCATGGAAGGAGCAGAGATGGCAGCCCAGAGCTCATGGCACCCCCAATCCCAGGATTCACAACCCCCCAGGAGCAGGCTGGCTCTCATTACTGTTGTGATGCCATTGGTGTCACCTCTCCTGCTGTGTCACTGCCCAGGGATGGGACCCTGCATCGTGCCCAGCCACAAGGAAAGCTCATCCCAGCCCAGCATTCACCCAGGGAATGAGGATTAGGAATCAGCAGGGAGATAGCCCCAGGAAGGAGCACCAACTTGGACTTGACAGTCCCTGCAGGATCCCCATGAGGGGGTGAGGACCCTTCTGGGGGTCCCAGGGTAAGGGTGGGCCCCAGGCAGGGGGAGGCCTGACCCAGGGGATCCCACAGGAATCCATGTGATTATCCCATGGGAATAACAACCCGCTGGACACCCAGGTTACCCTGTTTCTTCCCACATGGGGGGCAAGGACACCAAAATGGGGCAAATTCAGTGTTAAAAAGCTCAGGGTGGGTGCTTAAGGTGGGGGGGAATCCCATGCTTTTGAGAGAAAACCATTGGGATTGGGGGCCTCCCAGCTGCAGCATCACCCCCTCCCCAAATTCCTGGGAGTGAGAAACAGGTGGGCTGAGCCCAGGGTATCCCTGTATCCCTCCCTCCCCAATCCCTTGGGATCCCAAATCCAGAACATCCTCTAAAGGGCTGCAATGGTTCTCAAAATCAAGACCACACCTCAAGCCACTCCATCCCCCAATCCCCCTTCCTAGGGGCTCTCCAACTCCTGGGGTCACTCCACATCTCACCCCAATTAAAAAGGCAACACAGACTCAAAATATGCTGGGTCTGGGGGTGCAGAGTCTCAGGGGACTGTGGGGGATGTTCAGGAGCAGGGGGAGGTTTGGGGTGCTGGGAGGGGAGGAGTGCAGGGGTGTGCGTGTGAAAGTACCGAGAGTTTGGGCGGCTCCTCCCGACGCTAATTACAGGAGTTAATTGCCCCGACAGGCCCCGGCTTGTCACTGCACCCCAAAACCCCACCCAGGTGGCTGCCAAGGACCATCCCCCAAAACGAGGCAGGGACACTCGCTATGGGGCAGAGATCCCCCCATAAACACCCTGGACACATCTATGTGAGGGGATGCCCGCCTAAGCACCTGGACTTTGAGGGTCCCCTCCGTGGGGAGGTGGGTTTTGGGGAGAAGGAGATAATTCAGGGGATGGATTTGTGGGAGGCTGAGCTTGGGGGGGTCCCACAAAGACAGAAATGGGGTTGAGGACTCCCTGATCCAGGAAAATTTGGGGGGCAGGAAGTGTCTGTCTGAGACCCCAGATTTTGGGGAGCCCCTCCACAGGGAGGTGGGGTTTGAGGTGAAGAAGCCCATTCGGGAGGTGGATTTGCGGGGTCTGAGCTTGGATGGGCCCTCAGTGGTGGAAATGGGGATTCGGGCTCCCTAGTGGGAAAATCGGGGGGCACAAACCCCCAAGTCCCCTGGGCTTGACCCCATCCTCACACACAGGAGGACTCCCGTAGGGAAAGGTCCCCCCTATTTCCTCCATCACCCCTCATGAGACCCCAGCACCCCCCCAATGGTTCAGCACCCCCAAACCCCTCACCCCGCTCCCCCAATCCCAAGAGGACCCCACCCCCCAGACACCACAGGACTCCCATTTCCCCCAGCACCTCGCATGGGCTCAGCACCCCAAATCCTTTACTCCGCCCCAAAAGGGACCCAAAGGGACCCCAGTGTCCCGATCCCCCCTTCCCGCCTCCCTCTCAATGCCCCAAAAGGCTCAGGGACCCCCAAAGTGGGGCCCCATCAGGCAGGTGAGTCACGGCACCCCACCCCACTCCACCCAGGTCTCAGCCTGCCCCCCCAGCCCTGGGGGAGCCCCGAGGTCCCGGGTATGAACCCCCAGGGTGGGTTCGGGGTCAAATCCTGCGGGGGGGAAGGGTCCCCGAGATGTCCCCGTGTCTCAGTTTCCCTCCCCGGGCACCACCAGCGCTCGCAGCTCCAGTGCTGGGAGGTTTGGGTGATGGGGGGAATGAACCCAAATGCCCCCAAGACACTTTGGGTGCCTCGGGACCCCCGAGGTCCCCCTGCAATGTCCCAGCGCGGTGGGGAGAGGTCCCCTGCTCCCAGAGGCCCACCTCCCTAATTTGGTCGCCCCCTCCCTAATTTGGGGTCCTCCTCCATGGGGAAGGGGATGAAGCGAGCAGGGGGTGCTGGCACTGAGGGGGTTATGGGAGGGGGGGTCCTCTCCCACCCCCCGGAGTCCAGACGTCACTGAGGGTGACACGAGGTGACATCCCGGGGAGGTCCCACCGAGCTCCCCCCACAAACAATCCCTTCCTCGCTTTCCCTGCAGGGCCCCTGCGATTCCCAATTTCCAACCAGGAGGGTCCGGGGGCTCAACCCCCCAAGCCGCGGCCCTCCAGAACCACCCAGATCCCCCCAGGTCCCCGAAGCCAAACCCCTGAGCCCCCATATCCCACAGCCCAGCCACAACCCCCAAGAGCCCCCCGAGCCTCCATCTACTTCTGGACCACCTCAGACACCCCCAGACCCCCCCCCCCAAGAGCCCCAGCCTCCCCCTAACCCCTCAGCCCACCCAAATCCCTCCAGACACCCCCAAACCCACCCCCTGACTCCCCCAGGAACCTCCAGATCCAACACCAGACTCCCCCAGACCCCCTCCCGAACCCCACAAACCCATCAGACCTCTCCCTCCCCCAAATTCTCAGTGGAGGCGGGCCCGGGCGGGGACCTCCCATTCCCGATTCACCCCCCCCCCGGTGCCCCAAAGACCGTGGGGCCCCCAAATGCCTCCTCCCCCCCCCCCCCCCCCCCCCCCCCCCCCCCCCGCGGGTCCATTCCCGCTCCTCTGCCGCCCTCCAGCGTCCGCGAACCCCAAAATCACCGGGGCGGGAGGGCTCTAAAGGGCTGCGGGGGAAAGCTCGGGGGGTCCCCATACCGCCCAAACCACCCTGTGAGCCTCCAAACCAGCCCCCGCCCCCCCAAAAGCAGGGGGCGACCAGGGGGAGACTCCCCCAAAACAGGACGGAATCGGGGGGAGATGAAATGGAGGGACAGGAAAGGGAGTGCAGGGAGGTGACCCCAATTTAACCCTCCCAGGGGGCACCACTGATGCCACCCCCTTAAGGGGGGACGGAGTCATCCCCTTCCCTCGGCCAGGCACCCCCCCTTTACCCCAAAGGCCCCCAAAGCTCAGGCCCCCCCTCGAATCTCAGGGGTCTCGGAGGGGTTCCGGGATTCCCCAGAATTTAGGGGGGCTCACGGCGGGTCTGAGGGAGCCCTTCCCAGCTTTGGGAGCCCCCCTCCACTCCCCTCGCAAGTCTAGGAAGGGTCCCCAAAACTCCCGGGGTGCGAACTGGGGAGACCGGGGGGCTCCGAATACTGTGGGACTGCAGCCCCTCCCCAACTCCTTAATTAGTTAGTGAATTAATTAATTAATCAATCCTCTGCCGGCACTAATTACGGGCACCAGGTGTCACCCCCCCCGCCCGCGGATGGAACTGAGGGAGGACACCCTAAAACCCGCAACATCTCTAGACCCTGTGGACACTCCCAGCCCCCGCAACCCATGGAGAGACCCCCAAATCTGCTCCCAGCCCTCCCCAGCCCCAAAACCCCTCCTCCCTCCTCGGCAGGGCCCCGTTGCGTTAATGATTAACGGGGGACAAAGTCCGCTGGCAGCGCCGATTTTGGGGTCAGCGCACGGGACGTCCTCTCCACCCCGTGGGGACCCCCCCAGGACGGCTCCGAGCCCCCCAAATCTCTACCACCACTAGCCCAAACACCCCAGGGCACAACCCCGACATCCCCAAACCAACTGGGGGAGCCGTGACCCCCAAACGAGGCCGCTGTCACCCCTCGCTGCTGCTCCAAAGTGGGGGGACCCCAGAGGGCACCCAGGGGTTTTGGGGTGCGGTAGTACCCCGAGAGCAAAGGGCCCCACAAAGACCCCCTGGAGGGACACGGGCACCCCAAAACAGATCCTAGTACCCCTGGATGAGAGCCCAGGCACCCCAAAGCAGATTCTTGGATCCCAAAAGTGGTCCTGGCACCCCAAAAGAGACCCTGGCATTCCAAAACACACCTGGCCACCCCAAACAGGGCTCTGAGGCTCCAGGGTGGGTGCTTGTACCCCCAAACAGATCCTCGTATCCTGGAATTGGTTCTGGCACCCCAGAGGGGATCTGGGAACCCCAAAACAGACCCAGACAGCCTGAAATGGGCTCTGACACCTCCTGAGAGACCCGGGCACCCCCAAAGAGACCCTGGCACTCAAGATGGACAATGGAATCCCAGGAGAGACCTTGGCACCCCAAAATGGATCCTGCCATCCTGGGATAGGTCCTTTTATGCCAAAATGGTCCCAGGCAGCCTGGGATGAGCACAGACACCCTAAAACTGGTCTGGGCATCCAAAAAAGGACCCAGGAACGCCAGAACACGGATTGGTACCCCAAAACAAGTCCTGGCACCCCTGGAAGGGTTCTGACGCCCTAGGAGGGACCCTCGTACCCCCAAAGCAGATATTGACAACCCAGGATGGGTCCTGGCACCCCAAAACACAGCCAGACATCCATGAACTGAGCTGGTCATATCGGCAGGGTCACAGACACCCCAGGAAGGAGTCCTGGTACCCCAAAACAAACCCAGGCACCCACAGATGGGTTCTGGCACCCCGACACAGACCTGGGCACACCAAGAGATCTCTCCTGGCACCTGGAAGAGATCCAGGCAACCCAAAACAGGTATTGGCACCCTGGGAGGGGTCCTGGCACCCCAGGAAGGGAGCCAGGCACGCCAAGATTGGTCCTGGCAGCCACAGATGGGTCCTGGCACTCTAAAACAGATTCTAGGACCCCCAAACAGACCCAGACACCCCAAAACTGATCTGGGAACACCAAGATTGGTCCCAGTCCTCAAAAAAAATATTCAGGAACCCCAAAACAGCACCAGACACCCCGGGATAGATCCCACCACCTCCAGACTGAGCACCCCAAGATCTTCCTGGCACTCCAAAGCACCCCGGCAACCTGGGATGAGCCCCAACATCCCAAACCGGGGACACACCCCTCCCCCCACCAATTAGCAACACTCCCAAAGTTCCAAGGTTTTATTCCAGCAGCGAGCAGAGGCCCCGAGGGAGGCCCAGACCCCCCAGCTCCCACCCCACAGTCTGAGAGGGAACAATGGGGGGGTCGGACCCCTCCAGGGGAGACTGGGGGGGCACTGGCTCAGGTTGTCAGTGGAGGGTGCCTGGTGTCCTGTCTGGAGCTGGGGACTCCCAGGGAAGGAGGCCAGGATGGAGAGGGGACACACCAGGGAGGATGGGCTCAGCAGATCAGAACGTGGGGGACCTCCATGGGAATGGGGGGACCCCTCCCACGAGCCCCCCAGGACGTGGACAGGACCCCCCCAGGAAAGGGGGTTCAGGTGGACTGGACTTGGGGGACCCCCATGGGCAGGAAAGAGGGGACTTGAGGGGGCTCAGAAGGTCAGGACATGGGGGTCCTGAGCCCCACCCCATAAAAGGGGGTTCAGCTTGGGAGTGCATGGGGGGACACCCTGAGAAGGGGAGGCCCAGGGGGCCTCAGCTGGGCTGGATATGAGGGACCCTCCAGGACACAGAGAGACCCCCAGGAAAATTGGGGGGGACAGGGGGGCAGTGCTCAGCTGGCCTGGACTTGGGGGGATGTCCTGGGAAGGAAAAGGAGGGCCAGGGAGGCTCAGCAGGTCAGATCATGAAGGTCCCTCCACAAAGGGGGGGCCATCTGTCCAGGACATGGAGGGACATCTCAGGATGGAAAGGGGGGCTCAGCTGGGCTGGACATGGAGACCCCCCTCTCAGGAAAGGAGGAACTTAGGGGGACACCCTGGGAGGGCAGAGAACATGGAGAATTCCCCGAGAAAGGGGGGGCTCGGTTTGTACGGACATGGGGGATAGCCCAGAAATGGGGCCCAGGGGGGCCTCAGCAGGTCAGGATTAAGGGTCTGCTCAAGAAAGTGGGGGACTCAGCTCAGCTGGCCAAGCCAAGGAATGTGGGTCCCCCAGGAAAGGGGGTTCAGCTTTCCAGGACGTCGGAGGACTCGGACACGAGTTTCCCATCGCGGGTCTCGATCTTCTTGATGACGATGGCGCGGGATTTGGGGGGGGCCATGCCCTCAGGAGGCGGGGGGGGCACTGAGTATCCTGAGCTAACCACGGCCCCCCCAAACGCTCCCCCAAAACCCCCCCCGAAACCTCCCCCAAATCCACCTGTGGGGAAGAGAGAGCAGCTGTGAGGGGAGGGCACATGGGGGGGCACCCAAAATCAGGGCGTTCCAGGGACCCTCCCAAACTCACCCAGGTACCCCGAAGTCTTGGTGTGGATGCTCAGGTTCTGCACAGCAGCCTCCAGCCTGGGGGAGTTTTGGGGAATCCCCCAAACAGGATCAGTGATGGAGTGGGGGGGATAAAGGACATGGCCTGGGGGGGAAATCTGGGCAGGGGGGTGTCTCCCGAAACAGGATTAGCGACAGGGGGTATTTAAGGGACATGGCCGAAGTGGGGGGGTTGGAGGCAGTCCCCCAAACCAAGTGTTTTTCGGGGGAGAGGAATAAGGGACATGGTCCAAGTGGGGGGGATTTGGGACATTCATGGAATATGAGACATGGGACACGGAATGCTCATGGAATATGGGATGGAGGATATGGGATGTCCATGGGATATGGGGTGTTCATGGTATCCAGGATGAAGGGCATGGTATATGGGATGCCCATGGGATGTGGGATGGAGCATGGGACACCAGGTGTGAGATATGGATGCCCAGAGGTTATGGGATGTGGGATGCCTGTGGGATCTGGGATCGGGGCTTCTCACCTGCTCTCCTCTCCCTCCAGCAGTTTCCTGTAGGTCGCAATCTCGATGTCCAGGGCCAGCTTGACGTTCATGAGCTCCTGGTACTCCCGGAGCTGCCGGGCCAGGTCCTGCTTGGCCTGGGCCAGGGCCCCCTCCAGCCCCCCCAGCTTGTCTCGGGCATCTCTCAGTGCCAGCTCCCCACGCTCCTCGGCCTCTGCCACCGCCGCCTCCAGCCCAGAGCGCTGCAGGACAGGACACTGAGCCCAGGATCCCCCCGCACCGGCGTCCCCATCACCCAACGTCCCCAGTGTCCCGACATCTCCAAAGCCCCCTGTGTCCCCATGTCCCAGTATTCCATGTCCTATCACCCTCTGCGGTCCAGTGTCCCTGTGTCCCAGTGTTCCTCACTCCCCAGTATCCCTCATATCCCACTATCCTCCACCCCCCTCTTCCTCCCCAGTATTCCCAGACCTCCAAAATTCTCCCTATCCCTCAGCCATCGTTTTCTCCTCCCATTTCCCAGATGAGATCCCAAGGGATCCTCAGCAATCCAGTGGGGGGTTCCCATGGGGTGCTGGGGGAGGGGCAGGCAGTATCTCTCCAAATTTCCATCCATGTTGGACCCCAAACCTGATTTTTCAGAGCCTCAATCTCTGCCTGGATCCGCTGGATCCGCCGGTTCAGCTCCTGGATCTGGCTGCGGGTCTGGCGCAGGTCGTCTCCCTGCTTCCCAGCCGCTGTCTTCAGCTCCTCGTACTGGAGACACCAGACAGAGGTGGCAATGTGGGGCATCCCCCGAATCCACCAGCATCCCAAAACTGGGAGGCAAAGGCTGGATGTGGCCAAACTTGGAGGGATAGTCCAGGGTGGAATGTGGTAGGTCCAGTTGGGTTGGAGGCTGGGATCTTGGTGGCAATGGAGATGGGGGGACCCTCCTTTTTCACCAGCACCCCAAAAATTGGGAGAGAAGAGCTGTAATGCAGTGGAGGCAGGAGGGATGCTCTAGCTGGAATCTGGATCCAGCTGGGTTTGGAAGTGGGATCTAGGGGAATGGAGATTGGAAGGACTCCTCTTTTCCCCCAGCATCCCAAAATTTGGGATGGATGAGCTGAGATTTGCCTGTGTCAAGAAGGACGTTCCATCTGGCATCTCAGGGAAATGGAGATGAAGGGACCCTTCTCTTCCCTAGTACACCCAAACTGGGGAGAAAGGAGCTGAGATGTGGCCATGCCAGGAGGGATGCTCCAGTTGGGATGATCCATTGAGATACCATGAGTTCAGTTTGGAATCAGGGTCTTGGTGGGATGGGGAACCTCACTTTTCTACCAGCACCTCAAAAATTAAGAGGAAAGAGCCAGGTTGCAGCGATGCTGGGATTAATGATCCAAGTGGGATGTGGTGGTTCTCACTAGGATCTGGTGGGTCCAGTTGGGCTTGAATCTGGGATCCCATTGGGATGAGGCCTCCCACTTGCCAGCAGCATCCCAAAACAGGGGATGAAAGAGCCTGGGAAGTACTGGCACTGGGATCTGCACCAGGAATGGAGATGGGTGCCCCTCCCTGCCCTACAGTGCCCCAGGACTGGGATGAGCCCACGCTGAGGGGAACGCTCCAGGCTGGGATGTGGCAGCTCTGGTTGGGTTTTGAGCCACAATTTCTCCCACGCAGCAGCCGCTCCCTCCAGGGCAGGGAGGAAGAGGAGGAGGAAGGATTTGGGGCAGGGAGGAGGAGAAGGAAGTTTCAGGAAGCAGAAAGGAGGAGGATGGGGCAGGGAGGAGGAGGAAGATGCAGCAAGGAAGAGGAGGAAGGTTCAGGGAGCAGGGAGAAAGAGGAAGAAGGATTGAGGCAAAGAGGGGAGGAGGAAGGGGCAGAGAGGACGAGGAAGAAGGCTTGGGGAGCAAGGAAGAGAATGAAGGCTTGAGAAGGAGGGAGAAGGAGGAGGAAGGCTCAGGGCAGGAAGGAGGAGAATTAGGAAGAAGAGAGAGGATGAGGCAGGGAGGAGGATGAAGGCTCAGGGTGTAGCAGAGGAGGAGGAAGTTTTAGGGAACAGGAAGGAAGTGTCAGGGACGAGGAAAAAGGTGGGTCATGGAGGAAGGCTCAGGCAACAGTGAGGAGGAAGGATGGGGGAGCAGGGAAGAGGAGGAGGAAGGATTGGGGAGAAGAGGAAGATGAAGGTTTGAGGAGCAGGTGGAGAGGAGAAGGATTGGGGGGTAAGCGAGGAGGAAGATGAAGGTTTGGGGGGCAGGAAGGAGGAGGAAGGCTTGGAGGACAGCAGGGGGTGCTCTCCTGACCTTGATCTGGTAGAGGCCTTCGGCCTCAGCACGGCTGCGGCCAGCGATGTCCTCGTACTGCGCCCGCACGTCCGCCAGCACCCCGGCCATGTCCAGCTGGCGGCTGTTGTCCATGGACACCACCACGGCTGTGTCCGACACCTGCGCCCGCAGCTCCTGCAGTTCCTGTGCACGGGGGTGATGGCTTCAGCAGGGGAGCACCTCCCAAATCCAGGCACCCCAAATCCCTGACACCCCCAAACCTCCTCGTAGAGCTGCCGCAGGAAGTTTATCTCGTCCGTGAGGCTCTCCAGGCGCGATTCCAGCTCCACCTTGGACATGTAGGCTTCATCCACGTCCTGTGGGAACGTCACCCCTCTGTTCCCAGCATCCCCAGGGACCCCCCCCCCAGCAGCCCCTTGGTCTCAGGGACTCCTCATGTGTCAGGGTCCCCCCTCAGTTTTGGGGTTCCCCCACCTTTTTGAGCAGAACAAACTCGTTCTCCTTCTCTGTGCGGTGGTTGATCTCCTCCTCATACCTGGGCAGAGGGGACACAAGGATGGGGGGGCACAGGGGCATACAGAGAAATGGGGATGGGGGACATAGGGACAGTAGGGATGGGGATATGGGTATATGGGGACATTAGGACAGGGAGGGATATGAGGACGGGTGACATAGGAACACGGGGACAGGAGGATAATAGGGACTAAGGGGATGGGAGAGCATGCGGAGGTGGGGACAGGGGGACAAAGGGACACGGCAATGGGAGGATGTGGGGACATAGAGAGGATTTGGACCAGGGATGTGGGGACATGAGGAAACAGGGAGACCCAGGGACATGGTGGGGACATCGAGGGCCATGGGGACAGGGGGACACAGGGATAAAGGGACATGGGGCTGAGGGCACACAGGATGGGGACACAGGGGTATGTGGGGGAACACTTCGGGACACAGACATGGCCTTGAATTCCTCCAGGAGGCTGCAGGCGTGGCCTGGGTGGGGTCAGCAGCAAGTACAGCCCCAGGGGGACTACAGGATGGTATTGGGGGGCTGTGGAAGGGTCTGGGGAGACATGGGGGTACCCAGGGGGTTTGAGGGATACTCAGGAACACTGACTTGGCCTTGAACTCCTCGACGAGCTCCCGGACGTGGCCGAGCTCTGCGCGCAGCCGCTGCCGCTCCTGCCCGAGTCCCTCGAGCTGGCGCCGCAGGGTCCCTGCGTAGCCCTCGAGGAGCCCCCCCAGGCTGCTGCGGGGGGGCGGCTGCGCCCGCAGGAGCCCCCACTTGGTCTCCAGGAGTTTGTTCTGCTGCTCGAGGAACCGCACCTGCGGATGGGGAACGGCGCCCCAAAACCACCACAAAATCACACCTGGGGGAAAGGGGGTCAGGAGCACTCCCACACCCCAGCGTCACCTTAAAAATCACCCACACCCCCAAATTACCCCAAAATAACCCCCCACATTAAAATCACCCCAAAATCGCCCCCACACCCCAAAATCACACTTAGGGGACAACAGGGTCAGGGGCACACCCATACCTCAAAATCACCCCAAAATCACCTCCATCCCCAAATCACATCTGGAGGGAAGGGGGGAAAAGAGACTCAGAATCCCAAAATTACCCCCAAATCATCCCTAGGAGAATGGGTTGGGCTGGAGGGGGACATGAAGTGGACGGGTAGGGGTAGGATGGAGATTTGCAGTCCTGGTGCAAGCTGGACTGTGTGTCCTTGGAGGAAGTCAGGAAGGGCTCAGGGTGTCCCTAAGAGGGGTGTCTCCGAGGATCTCAGAAGGTCCCCAGAAGTGCTCAGGAGGTCCCAGCTGATCCAGGGGGTCCCTGAAGGGTACCTAGAAGGGCTTCTCAGTGTCCCCAGGATCATCAGGAGGTCCCAAAAGGTGCTCGGGATGTCCCAGCTGAGACTCAGGTGATGCCAGAGAAGGTCTCAGTATCCCCAAGGGTACAGGAAGTCCCCAGAGATGTTCAGGAGGTCCCAGGGAGGGTCTCAATGTCCCCAGGTGTCCCAAGATGTCCCAGAATCCAGTCCGCAGGGTGGTCCCAACCCTCCTCGGGGTCCCCTCCAGCCCCACCTTGTCGATGAAGGCGGCGAATTTATCGTTGAGGGTCTTGATCTGCTCCTTCTCCTCCCGGCGCAGCTCCTGCAGCTCGGGATCCACGGCCACGTCCAGCGGCGCCAGGAGGCTCCGGTTGATGGTGACGGCCGTGATCCCCCCGCCCGTCCCCGGCACCCACGAGGGACCCGCGAGCCCGCCGGAGCCGCCACGGAGCCCCCCGTAAGGACCGAAGGCCGGGGCCGTGCTCATCCGCAGCACCGGGCCGGCCGTGAAGGAGCGGGACGAGAAGGAGCGTCCCGGCACGGCCGAGCTGCTCCGGAGCGGCTGCCGGGGAATGGAGACCGACATCGGGCCGGGAGGAGAGAGGAAAGCGGGAAAGAGGCGAGAGAGCAGGGAAAGTGTTCGGGAGGTGGGAGAGGAGGTCGGCTAGAGAATGAGGAAGCTGGAGAAGACTGGGAGCAGGTTGGAAATTGGGAAAGGAGATAGGAGGGAGTTTGGAAGGAGGTTGGAAAGTGAATGAAGAAGGTCAGGGAGGGTTGGAGGAGGCTGAGGAGGCTGCAGGGAGGATGGAGGTTAGAAGGAGGATGAGAGGATTGGAAGAAGTTTGGAAGAGGTTTGGAGAAGGTCCTCAGCTGAGGCGGACTGGAGGAGGCTGAAGAGGCTCAGCAGGATGAGGACGGCTGGAGTGAGGTGGAAGAGCCTACAGAAGGCTGAGGAGGACGAGGCCGAAGGCCGCGCTCGGGGCAGGGAGGCTCCGACGGCCCCGGCAGGACCGGCCGGACGGGTCGGGGCACGACGGGCCGGGCCGGGCGGAGCGGCCGGGCGGGTTCCGGGCGCGTTCCCGGTTTGGTTCTCGGGTTTATCCCAGAGCCGGGGGAGGAGAAGCGGGGGGAGGGACCGGAGCTTTAACCCCTTCGGGACGTGGGATCCGCGCGATCACCATGATCTGCCGGGATCGGGACGAGTGGGGGGCGCGGGGGCGCACTTACCCCAAAATGCGGGTCCTGGTGCTCTCCACCCCCCTCCGCGCCCCCTCCTGGAGGAGAAGACCCTCTCGAGTGTCCCCAGGGAGCGTGTCCAGCCCTGTCCCCACTGTGTCCCCACACCTGGGTCTCCCAATCTGAGTCCCCGACTCCACGTCACTAAGTCTTGTCCACCCAGTCTGGGTCCCCAACCCCGACCCCAGTCCGGGTCCCCCCCAGTCTCAGTCCCCAACCGGTCCCCCAGTCTGAGTCTCCAGACCAGTGTCACCACCCTGTACCCCCCAGGCTGTATCCCTAGCACCACATCCCCAATCTGTGACCCCAAACTATTCCTCCAGCCTGTGTCCCCAACCCTTGTCCCCCACTCTTTGTCCCTGCCCACGTCCCCATCCTAGGATACCAAACTATGTTCCCATGAAATGTCCCCAATCCCTGACCCCAGCCCCTGTCCCAAGCTTACATCCCTATGTCCCCTGGCCCTGGCCCCATAATTTGGTGGATGACCAAACTGTGTCCCCAGCCCCCTGTCCCTCAGTGAAGGACCCTGGTCCCTGTTCCTGGCTCTGTGTCCTCAGCCCCATGTCCCCAGATCCAAGACCCCAGCCCTGTCCCCAAATTACATCCCAAAACTGTGTCCCTAAACTCTGTTTCCCAGCCCTAAACCCCCAAACCCTGCCCCAAGCTCTGTGTCCCCAACCCCTGATCCCAGCCCCTGTCCCCAGATCTGAGTCAAAACATGGGACTCCAGCCACATCTCTCCAAATCTGGCCCCAGACCTGTCCCCAACCCAGGTCTCAACAGGGCCTGTCCCCAGTACCAAACTCAGCAGCAAAGTAGAGAAAACATCCCCAAAAAGGCGATGGATGGATGGATGGATGGATGGATGGATGGATGGATGGATGGATGGATGGATGTGGGTTCAGGTGTGTGCAGGTGTGTTCAAGCAGGTTCAGGTGAGTTCAGGTGTGTTCAGGTGAGTTCAGGTGTGTGCAGGTATGTTCAAGCAGGTTCAGGTGAGTTCAGGTGTGTTCAGGTATGTGCAAATGTGTGCAGGTGTGTTCAGGTGAGTTCGGCTGTGTGCAGGTGAGTTCAGATATGTTCAGGTGTGTTCAGGTGTGTGCAGGTGGATCTGACAGGTGCCAGTCCACGCCGTGGCAGCTCCGTTGGTGGCTCCAGCCCAGACTTGCCCGGCACGAGGGCGGCACACGCTGGGCACGGCGAGGGTGCGGCACCTGCGGCCCGGGAGTCAGAACCCAGGATTTGACATCCTGGAGTTGGGATCTAGAGGGCTCCAGGGGTTTGCCTCCAGCTGGGCCTTGCACGATCTGCTCCCCACTCCACCCCTCCAGCTCCCTCCCTAAATCCCTCCTTTAATCTCTTTTTATCAGGAAGGAATTTCCAGAGATAACCCCCGAGGGGTGGGTCCCAGACCCTGCAGGACACTCCCCCAGCCCTCCAAGACCGAGTCCCCCCAAGGAGCAGAGGGGACCCCCTAAACCTTTGACGGTCCCAGCTGAGCTCTCCATCGCCATCAGCTGGGGACACTGAGGCACGGAGGGACACGGGGGGGATGTGAGGCGATGGGGGACGTTTGGGGATGGGGGGGACAGGGGGGAACACGAGGAGTTGAAACTGGGGGATACCAGGTGACACGGGAGGGACCCTGGGGGGTCACTGGGGAATGTTTGGGGACCGGGGGACACAGCTGGACGGGGGGGGGGTGGACACGACACGGGTGGGACACGTCACCCACCGGGAACGCCCGGAATGTTCCCGATAAGGCCCAGGGTGGGAGCAGCCCCGACACCCCCGCCCCTCCCCCTGAGCCCTTCAGGGGGTCCCAGGGGGTCCCCAAAGAGGGACGAGGCCGCTGCACCCCGGGAGGGACATCCTGGGACCCTCGAGTCCAGCACCTCGGGGACCCTGTGGGGAAAATGGGGGAAAAAGGGGGAGAAAGGGGGCAAAAAGGGGGGGGGAAGGGAAGACGAGGCAGAACGGGATAAAATTGGGCATAAGTGGGGAAAGAGGAATGTGGCAAAGCAGAGGGAATGGAATGGGGCAAAGCAGAGAAAAAACATGAGGCAAGAGGGAAAAGGGAGAAAGGGGAAGGAATGGGGCGAAATGGGGATAAACCGCAAAAAATGGGGGGAACTGGCAAAATTGGAAAGCGATTGGGTAAAATGGGACAAAAAGGGATAAATGGGACGGGAATGGGGTAAAACAGGGCAAGATCAGGCAAAAAGGGTTTAAGTGGACAAGAATGGGACAAAACGACAAAATAGAGCAAAAATTAGTAAAATAAGAAAGGAAGTGGTGTAAGACTGGGCAAAATGGGGCAAAAGGGCAAAATGGGGCAAAAGAGCAAAATGAGAAGATCTGGCATAAATGGAGTCAAATGGAGCAAAAAGAGGCAGGAATGGGGGAAATGGGGAAAATGAGAAAGGGCAAAATTGGGCAAAAATGAGATCAATCAAGGCAGTGATGGGCAAAAGTGGGCAAAAATGAGTAAATGGAACATGAACGGGGCAAAACAGGACAAAATGGGGCAAAATGGGGAAAACGGAGCAAAACAGGGCAGGAATAGGGTAAAACAGGAGGTCTCAGGTGAGGCAGGGGCTCCAGCAGTGTGAAGGTCAGTAGGGTGATGTGGCCCTGGCTATGGGGACCCAAAAATGTGTGGGGCTGATCCCGATCCTGCCCCACATCCCACAGTTCTGGTTCTGGGGCCGACCTCCATTCCTTCGTCCGCCACCCCACAGTTATGGGGTCGATCCCATTCTTCTGAACCCACGACACAAGTTCTGGGTCAGACCCTGATCCCTCCAATCCTCATCCCACAAGTTCGGGGGCTGATTCCTTTCTCTCTGCCCCCCATCCCACAGTTCTGGGTCATTCCCCTCTCCACCCACCCCGCACCCCTGGAGTCTTGGGGTTGATTCCCTTCCCCCTGCCCTGCACTCCCCAGTTCCGGGTCAAGCCCCCAAACCTCTACCCCGCATCCCACCAGTTTTGGGGCTGATTCCTTTCCCTCACACCTCACTCCCCAAGTTTTGGGGTCGATTCCCTTCCCCGTCCCCCCCCCACCCCCAGTTTTGGGGCCGGTCTCCGCATGAACAAAGCCCTGGGCCAGCTCCAGCCGCACCTTCCCGGGAGCGAGCCCATGGGGAGGTGCCGTGGGGCCGCTCCCGGCTATAAATCCCGGCCAGAATTCCCGCCCGGAATTCCATTCGCGCGTCCGTCCGTGCGACTCTCGGGCTCTCGCCGTCGTGTCACCGTCTCCATGAGCTTCTCCCGCCGCACCGTCTATTCCAGCTCCGTCCGCTCCGGCGGGATCGGGACTCTCGGGACCCCCGGGATCGTCCCCGGCCGCCGCTTCGCCCCCCTGGGCAGCGCCGCCAGCGTGTACGCGGGGGCGGGGGGCGCGGGGTCCCGCATCTCCGTCACCCGCACCCTGAGCAGCGCCGGGGGGGGCTTTGGGGCCGGTTATGGGGCCGGCTATGGGGCCAGCCTGGGGGGCAGCGTCTTCCTGGGGGGCTCCGGGGCCGTGGCCAACGAGAAGGAGGCGATGCAAGACCTCAACGACCGCCTGGCCACGTACCTGGAGCAGGTGCGGAGCCTGGAGCGGGAGAACCGGCGCCTGGAGACCCAAATCCGGGAGTTTATGGCCCAAAAGGGGCCCAGCGCCCACGACTGGAGCCCCCAGTGGGAGCTGATCGAGGAGCTACGGGACAAGGTGGGGGCGCGGGGGGGGGCTTGGCGTTAAACATTAACGAGGAGGGGGGAGGGGAAGGGCTGAACTTTGCATCTGTGGGGGGTCTGTAAGTCCCTGGAGACCGATGGGGGGGTTGGGGGAGATCTGTAAGTCCCCGTGGGTGGAGGGCGCCGGAGGGTTTTCCTCCCCGCGGGGCTTTTTTTGCGTGGGGCAAAGGGACGTGACCGAGGCCACCGGGGTGAGCCAGTGTCAAAGGAACCCCCTCTCCATTTTTACCCTGATTTTTGGGTAAATGAGCCTCCCCCAGGCGCCCAAAGCCCCTCCTGGAGCCTCCCCAAGGTGACCGGCACCCCTCCCCCGCCCCGACACCTAGGCCCCCCCCCGCCCCGCCCCCACCCTGGGTTATCGGCGCTTTTCCGGGGCGAGGCCCTGCAGGGAAGGGGGGCCAGGGAAGTCATCCTGCCACGGTGACAGTGACACGTGTACCTGTGTCCCTGCGTCCCCGAGTGCGTCCCTGTGTCCCGCTCACCTGTCTCCCCTCTATTTCCATGTGTCTCCATATCTCTGTGTGCCCACCTGTGTCCATGTGTCCCTCCACATTCCCCATCTGTGTGTCCCCATGTCCATGTGTCTCCCCATGTCCCCCCCCTCCATGAGTCCCTATATCCCTGTGTCCACTCATGCCCATGTTCTCATGTCCATGTGTCCATGTGTTGCTACATGTCCGTATAGCCACATGTATCCCCATGTCCCCCCATGTCCACGTGTCCTCTGGATCCATGTGTGTCCATGTGTCCCCTCTATCCATGTGTGTCCTCATGTCCTCTGGATCCATGTGTGTCCTTGTGTCCCCATCCCAGATCCTGGAGAGCACGGTGGAGAATGCACGGACAGTGCTGCAGATCGACAACGCACGGCTGGCGGCCGATGACTTCCGGGTCAAGTGAGGGCAGGATGCTGGGAATACTGGGAATAATGGGAATACTTGGAATAATGGGGGTGGGAACATGGCAGAGATGACATGGGAAT